AAGTAGTTGCTAGTGTAAATGTGTAACCTTAACAGTTAAATCATTAAATTTTGCTGATTTTAAATGAACTGCATTAGCTAGCTATGCTATATTATTTAATGCTACCTTGGATTGAGTAGTGCTGCAGTGGAAAAGAGCAGGATTCGTTTCACATCAGAAAAGCACTTCTGTAGCTCGTCTGTATCTTTCAACAACAGTCTCTGTTGCTCAATGACAGCAGAAATCACATCCGAGGTGCTCACGTGTGGAGTGCTGTGTCTTCTCAGAGTCTTGGCTGGTTGGGCTGCAGTTGAATGTCCTGTAAAACTAGACATTACACAGTGTTTTTAGAAATCTTCTTCTTTGGTGAGTCTGTACCACTGAACAGACCATCATGTACGGACACAGCCTACAATTTACACCGATCAGACATAACATTATGACCACCTCCTTGTTTCTAGGCTCATTTTCCATTTTATCAGCTCCACTTACTATATAGGTGCACTTTGTAGTTCTACAGTTACAGACTGTAGTCCATCTGTTTCTCTGCATACTTTGTTAGCCCCCTTTTTACCCTGTTCTTCAGTGGTCAGGACCTCCATGGGCCCATTCAGACGGTTTTGAATGTGTTTAAAACGGGCTAAAATCACCCATTATAGATCTTTTGGTAATCTGCCAAGGCGGAATATTTGAAGTGACCGAAAGCTTTGTGTCCTACTTCCACGGAGTCACTAACACTTCTCTGTGTGAGCAGAGCCTCCTTCACTGTGCTTGTTCATTAGCGTGGCAGTGCTAACATCACACAGCTTATGTCACACAGTGTCATGTGGTATCGGTACGTTGGTATCGGTGCACTTCTAAGAGTAGAAAGAAAATGAGTGCGGTATCTGCCTGATACCCAATACTCGGTTTGTGATATGGTGCATTATCTGTAATAGAAGACGGATAAATTGTGGCCATTAAGAGAAGAACAATACTCAAATAGGCCATGACATTCAAGTAATGATTCATTGGTATTATTTGTGTCAAAGTGTGCCAAGAAATCATTTCCCACACCAGTGCACCACCTCCACCAGCCTGGATTCATGATGTTGGCACCAAATTTTCTTATTTTTCCATTTTGCATGCAGCTGTTATTTTTTTAAAAAAGCGCTGTATTTAAACTTGTTTCAAATGGACATACAGCAGTTTGGGATGAAACCCTTCAAATATTCTACGGTTGTACTTCTGAGGGCAAAAGGACAGGGGCTCAGGCCCCCATAGGGACTGTCTTAATGGAATAAAAAGGGCAGGCATATTAAAAACTGATCCCTGAATTGTCTTTCTTTTTGTGCTTTTTTCTAATCTAATAAAGAACAAAATATATCTAATGCAGGATTAGTAGGAGGGTTATGCCTTTTTAGTTTATGCTTCAATTAAATATGGGATGGGCTGATGTACAAGTGCGGAACATATGAGGTCCAGTTAGGATGATGATGTTTTAGTTTGTGCCTTGAGCAGCAGTGCCCAAACCTGGGCCTGGAGATCTTCTACCCTGCAGTGTTTAGCACCAACACTAATCTAGGTATGTGATCCAGGTAATGAAGGTTTTCAGGATTGTCTAAATATCAGAACCAGGAGTGTTGAATCTGAACTTCTGCTAGATCTCCTTGGACCTTGTACAGTGATTTCTAGATTTGCAAAAATGAACAGACCTTGCAAAGGCACCCTATTCCCCTGCCTCACACTTCGAAAAATCCCCAGGCTCTCATAGGGCCAGTTTCCTGTTTCTCTGCGGAGACAGGCTTGACAAAATGCTGAGAGTAGGCACTGTTGCACAGAAACAAGAAACTGACCCTATAAGACCCTGGAAATTTTTCAAAAGGAGAAAAAAGCTGGAACACATTAAAACCTGGCAGAAGTCACACGAGTTAGGAAAAGGAGGAAACTGATGAAACTTACTGTAAGAACTTATGCACAGTTCAAATAGGGCCTTATTATTTAATCAAAAGCAGAGGGTTGTTACAAATGATGGTGTTTATATGCAGAAATATGAAATTGAGTCTGTTTTCTGACAGTTCTTCCAACATAAATGAGTGTCTGGGACAACATGAGTGGATGGATTATAGGGCACAAGAGGAGGATTCTATGAGTCACTAAGCTGGAGTAGGGAGGGCAAAGCTTATTATTCAGATTTGAATCTCAAAACTTATTATTCAGGGTTATTGTAGTTTTGAAATCTTTAGTAGTTTTTTAGTTCTTTTTTGTTTCGGTTCTTAATTTCTGATTTCATTTAGTTTTGAAAAATTGCATTAAAGATTTTAGCTTTGTTTTTATTAGGGATGTTCATATCAGATTGTATGTGAAGTATGTGGATACCTAACCAACAGATGTTGTCACAAAGCAGCTTCACAGAAAAATTCAAGCCCCCATGAGCGTCAGCAGTGGCAACAGTGGCAAGGAAAAACTCCCTAAGAGCAAGAGGAAGAAACCTTGAGAGGAACCAAGACTCAAAAGGGGAACCCATCCTCCTCTGGTCGACACCAGATAGCAAACAGCATTAGTATAATATATTAGACTACAAAATGGGAAAAACAGGTGAAGCATTGGTTAATTAGATAGTTTGAGTCTGTGCAGCAGCAGCATCAGGAGGGTCAGTTCATGCAGGTGAGGTTTGCACAGTGTTGTACAGCGAGAAGCTCCATGGTGGTCAAACCAGTCCAGAAGGCTGGCGAGCATTGGGCACTTGATCACGGCAGAGGAAGCAACAGTGTCAGACCACACAGGATGGGCAGGTTCAACTCGGCTAAGAGAAAGAAACACACAGAGACTCAATGTGTGGACATTCTATCCCATTCATACTTTTATAACAGCCCCCACTCTTCTGGGGACTTCCCAATAAAAAGAGCATTTGTGACGTCTGGTACTGAAGTTGCATGTGAAGGCCTTCCAAATCATCCCAGAGGTGATCAGTGGCGTTACGGTCACGCCACTGCATTTCCTCTACACCCAACTCAGCAAACCTCATTCTCAATAGTTATGAGAGTGAGGAATTTTACTGTGGTTCCAATTAGAGTAGAATTAGTGATGTCCAGCTTAGTGGAGCAAGGTTTTGAAATAAAAGAAACACAGCTGAAACGTAAACACGTAATCAAGTTAGTTAGTCAGCTAACGTCAGCTACCGTTACTGATGTAAAAAAAGGTCAAATAAAACTAATAAGCGTCGCCACTTGTGATGATGTAAGGTTCCCCCCCTATACACGTCACAATTTAAAGACTGGTTGTAAACACTTACCAGTACTTACCTGAGGGCTGATTATCCTTGCTTTGGGGAGCAAAAAGAGAACTGAATGGATTCACCTGTGATTTACTTACGCGAGTGAGTCCATCCCCTGTAGAAGAGGAGGGAAGGACAAAACTTGCAAGAAGAGTAAATTGGTTAAGAAGTGTACACTGTAGTGTAAATATATATTAATGACGTCTTGAATGTAAAGGTGATCAGTAAGGAAGCACATGAATTATTTACTGTCGCATGTAAATATATATTTAGATATATGAAGCACTTGTTTTTAACCCAGGCCAGTAATGGTATATCCTAGGGCAGGAGCACCCCAAATATAAGCAGCATTACTGGGGGGTACAAAAAGATCCCTTCTTTCAGCTTGGTGGAAGATCGAAGGTAATGTGTGAAGACCTATATGACTTTGCAGTCATTGGTCAGTCTCATAGCTGTAGAGACCATTTTTCATTTTGTCTTCGTATTGTTTTCGTTTATTATGTGTGCACATGTAAATATGTAAATAATCCTGAGTGTTGGTGTGTAAATCAAGGTGACAGGGAGAAGAGCTCTTAAACCAGCTGTATTCATTCCAGTTACTTGGATCACTTGCCCAACGCTACCCATAAGGTGTGTCCCCTGCCACAGCATACTGCCGGGTCGAGGGACGCACTTTATCACACTGCTCTTCAGTTTCAGTCTCCATTTCCAAAACGCCTTAGCCGAGCACGTTTTCAGTGTAGATAAATGTAGCGTTATTGTGCTGGTTATAGTGAGCAGTGCTTCCTCTCACTGCATAAAACAATAAAAAAACACGATTTAAACAGAAGTTAAGACTCTTTGGGTTTATCTTAAAGTTAAGAAAATATTTAGGATATTTTGCCAACTTAGGATGTTTCTGTAAGACTATTTTCTTATCTAGAAATAAGATAAGATTACAGACTTAAGAACTCTTGTTCTGTAATGGCTTCTGTGCGAACTTCAGTCTTAACTGAAGTTCTCGTGACAACAAAGCAGATATGATCTCAGACTTCAGAATCTTCTGTAAAATGGCTCCTGAGCTAAATCATGGCAAAAAGTTGGCTACTTCAAAGAATCTACAATATAAGAATTATAGAACACTTTGAAATAGGAAAGAGAAGGAAAACTCTTCTTGGCGTATCCAGACTTTTGACTGGTATTGTCCGTATCACTTGATTGTAAATATATACGTGATGTACTGTTTAACCCTCTCAGTACTCCAACCTCATGCTTTATAGCAATCCAGGGTCGCATGTAATAAAGACACAAAATAGGTGTTTTCTTTCTTTAGTTTTTTTAATGATTGCTCACGTTTGATTTTGGTTACTAATCTCTGGTTGACAGCGTGTTTCCAATTAATGCACCCCTGTTTAATCTAGTAGAAATTGAGCAGCACAATACATATTTTATGATTTGTGCAGTTTTATTTTGTGGAAAGAAAAAAAATCATTTGTGCAATGTTTGTCATGTGGTGATTGAAATAAACAGATGAAAGATGGAAGCACAGACTTAAATGTGTTGTTGCTTAACACTTTCCCACAAACCTTTTCTTTCTGAGGGCTTGGACCTGGCTCCAAACCAAGCAAAATAGACAAATGCCTATGCAGGCATTCCAGATGTGAGATCTCTCCCTTTTTTAATCTTTTTCCTTTTCAGATTCAATAAACATCTTGAAACGCAGATGGGCTTTTGCATAGCTTGTTGAGGTAATTGCTGACAGTAAAACATTTCTACTGTGTTTCAGGGCGGCTGGACTTCCAGAAAAGTACTGCAATGAAGTGGAGCGGAAAATTCAAGCCCTGCCCACTCTGGTGCGTTGAACAAGACAGTGAAATGAAGATTTTATCCACATTATTCTTCCCATGTCTAAACCAAAGAAGTAACCAAACTCTAAAATGTCTTCTATCACTTCAATATGATTCAATATGAGTAAATAAAACTTTGGAAACAAACTACTCTCTGAATATTTTATTCCTTGACTTTGCCATTAGGTGCAAACAGTGACTGTGAGAGTTACGGCAAAACACTTCTGTGGTAATGCTGATTTCTGCTAGCATCCCTCTGCAGTTCTAGTTGTATGTTAGCACTAAGCTAACTGCGATTCATACGTACATTTTTTTTTTTTGGTCGTTCTTATGGACTTTCGAAGTAAAATACATTCCATGTTTTATTTGAAGCTTGTATTAAACATTATACAACAGTTAGTTCCGGTCACGCAAGCTGATTGGTTGAGAAGCGTTCTAACCGTGATGATATTTCGCCATAACATCGTTTTTTTTCCCACAAACACTGTATCACTCCGCTGAGACGGCGTTGCTAAGCAACGACTTTGACAGCTGTAGGAGACGCTCAAGCCATTTGAACGTTTTTACTTCTTACTTTGCCACAAACAGAAAATGGATATTTTTAAGATCACATTTGACCGACAGCCGATTTGGTCAGACTCTAAAGATGAGACGACACTAAATTCCCAAACTGTCATCACCACTGAGCAGCTTTTCAGTCGGCAGCTGAAACAGAAGAACAGCTGAACAACCTGGAATCAGCCAGAAATGAACCCAACACCATTCGCCAAACTAAATGGGCTGGAAGATGCTTTACATACTGGCTGGAACAAAACAACATTAATATTGATCTGGCAAAAACTGACAACACTGAGCTAAACTTGATATCACGGCAGTTTTATGGCTCAGTCTGATTTGGTCAGACTCTGAAGATCAGACTACACGTTTGGCGAATGGTCTTTGGTTCATTTCTGGCTGATTCCAGGTTGTTTAGCTGTTCTTCTGTCACAGCTGCTGACTGAAAAGCTGCTCAGTGGTGATGACAGTTTGGGAATTTAGTGTAAGGAGCTGGAGAATGAACTGCCGGCTGAGCAGTGAGTGGGCGGAGCTCGTTACTCTGACGTAGCAACAAGCTGCTTGTTAAGGAACTATAATTTGGTGAAGAAACTGCGAACATTAAAACATATTAAACGCCGCGTTCACGGCCCAGATTATTAATTTCTTACTTTATTTATTTAACTGTTGTATAAAAGCAATAGAACACTCGAGGAGTGTGTTATCGCCAATAACATCACAGCTGTATTGATCTACTGTGACGTTATTTCATGGTAACACGCTCCCTCTCGGGTTCTGTTGCTGAATTAACTCATGTTTTACCTTCTAGCAGTTCAGTAAAGAGCACTGGCGTAGAGCTGGCACTGTTTTCTGTTCTAACAACTGACCGAGACGCATTGGTACAGTGCCACTTGGACTCACTGTCAGCGATGTACAGAACTTCCAGACCTTAAGTGGCCTTTTTCTCTCAAATTGGTCACATCCATTGGGAATGCATCAGTCAAAATGTGAGTGACTGATTGCACTGAGTTTCTAAGTATGTTAGTGTTTATACCGACAGTTGTAGCTCCTAATGATTGGCTGGATCTACCTAAATACCATGGATAAAAATCCTGACTGGATAACTTTTGTGGGGCTTTTTTAAGAATGTAACTGCTGTTTCCATCCAAAACCTAAAAATTTTAATTCTAATAGTTTAAAGAGTTTTAATATAATAAACAGATTATTCAGGGCTCTATTTTTGTGCAGATGCAAGTTGTATAGTGTATAGTTGTATAGTGTCAGCCTCTTTGCCATAAACCAGTTGTTCCCCCAGTCGTGCCTAGTTGCTGTTTTGGCGGCAAGAAATAAAAACGCTTGTGCCGAATGGTGCGGCAGGAGGAAATGATATTCAAAGTCTGCCGAGTTTAACCCGACGTGGTGCAAAGTTGCACTTTCTCTGCTGCTTCCTGAGGCCCTTTGTTAGTGCAGGTGAAAGGCCAGAACTCTCATTTTTTACAGGCTAGTTTTGTGGATGGACCAACTATGTTATGGCTATTAAATGTGAACCAGACAGTTGGCACCATTATGCAGGAACATCATAGAGTTAATAGAATTAAAATGAATGTTTAACAACCTAAATACTTGCTATGAATTAAGAATCAGATGGTATGTAAGCTCTGTCTTTAAGTCCTCACACATGAGAGTGAACACCTACAATGGACTTTATTATATGATGTTTTTATGTTCTTTGTTATTAAATATGTAACTACTTTTTAATAATATAGTTAAATCACAGTTATAACTCCAGTCTTCTAAGACTAAAACCATGACTTAGAGTAGCAGTAGTTTTATTTCAGTCTTTTTGTGTGTGTTTAATCCTTTAGGCACTTAAGAGGCTTAATCTGATCTCTATGATAGACTGGCCCAATCCCATTTCTTCTTTTTACCCTACCCCTTGTTTTCGAGTGTCACCCTAACCCCTTGGAACTGAGTTACAGGGTAGTGGTTGAAATCTTGCCCTACGAAATGGGACAAACCCTCAACCCTTCATTAACAGGCTACTAGCGCTGCTCTGTAGGCAACCCAGCCCATCTGCAGTGACAGCAGAGGAGGGTGAAGTTCAGCTCCTCACTGCTGGGCTTTAGTTACATTTAGGGAATCATATGCCTTCAAAGAAGGGAGCAATTATTCATTATTGCCCACCGCTAATTCTTTGGTGATATGAAGCTGAAGTCAGATATTCACCAGATTCTTGTTCGAATTTTCCTGTTCCACCTTAAATGGTGCAGCAGTTACATTCTGGCACTTCAGGTGTCAGAACTGCTGGACTATTTAAGGTGGAACGGGAAAATTAGCTAGCTAGCTACTGAGACATCAGCATGCTATTAGTGATTTTTTATGCTTGTTACAAAGAAAACGACCAAAATACACTGAAACTACATTAAACTAAGATAATATAATGATTATCGTAATTTTTTAATGGAGAAAATTCTCACATTTGGGGGTTTCTTTGGTCTCTTGTGCTCCATCTTGCTCATAACACACTGTTTGGAGTGTCTCTGAAAAACCTCGGTTTGGAGGGTCATGAGGCTCTAACACTTCGCCCTACCCCTCCATCTCAACAAGAATCAGGACACCCTAAACCTAGACGTGAACACACAAAACAGAGGGCTAAGGGCTCAGTGGTGGGGCGAGGGGTGAAATGGGACTGGGCCACTGATGACTGAAAATGAGTAAAGGATGATGTTTGAATCTGTGACATCACGTTTATATTGTGAGTCATTTCTGACTGACCAGTCCAGTTTTGGCACATTCTGACTTTGAAGGAATGCAAAACAATCACCTAAAAAGGCGACTAGTGTACAGCCCAGCTTGATGCGTCATACGCTCACTTTGTTTGGATACTTGTTAGTTATTTTAGAATAATCCGGCGTTATGTGGCTATGTGGTTAAGAGCTGGCCGATTGTTTCAAGCTACAGATGGATGACGATACAGAAACTTGAATAAATGAAAGGAGAAACAAAAACATGGATGATACAGTTAAGCAGTTGACCTTTACTATGCTCTGTGGCATATACAAAAAGACTAAGCAGGCCCAGTTGACCTTTATTTGAGATCAAGAAGACAGAAGGATAAGATCTAAGTGACTTTGAAGAGGGTTCTTGGTTATTGGTGCACAGTTGGCAGAACTTGAGTCACAAAGATTGCTTAGCTGGCCACTGATTCAGTAGGAACAGTGACTTAAGTGACATCTGTATTTGGATTTATGGATCAGCAAACAGGGCTGGAGATTGTGGGTGAAAGTGCTTATTCAATATCCCTGATGTGATTCATGAGGAAAGACAGTGAGAGCAGCTGTTCCTGAGAGCTGAGCATGTTAGTGTAGATTGCTGTGAATGAAAATGTTGTAAATGGTATGATGTGTCCTTCACAGTCACCAGATCTCAATCCAGCTCAAACCAGTGGGAGATTGGGACCCAAATGTCACAGCGCTCTCTCCACCACATCCTAAAAAAACAATTATGGGAATACAGCACTGTGCTGGTGAAAGCGGCCGTTATATACAAAAAAAATCCCCAGAAAACATCTCGAACATAAAGTTAAACAACTAAATATAACTTTATTCAGTATTTAGTCTGTCCTCCCTTCAACTTCATTACAGCTTCCATTCTTTTATGGAGACTCGATGTCAGTTTTTCAAAGAAATCTGCAGGGGTATTTTTTGCTTAGTGGCTGTTTTGCCTGGAAATTGAATGTGTGAATAAAATGTCTGTGCCTTTTATTGAGTGCTATATCTTTTGAAAGAATGGGGTTCTATGCCTCTAGTATAGTTCCAGAGACCGGTAGACCCAATTCCAGGGCTGCTCTGAATCTGTTTACTTGTTGCTGTTCAACACATTACTACAATACTTTATGTTGGTTTTTCCTCTCATTGACCAGGGTATATTTTGGTTTGTCCATTTGAATTTACATGACCACATCATAAGGCAAATTATTCAGTAACTGCATGAAATAAATGTATTTTACTTATTTATTTATTGTAAAAGCTTCCCTCAAATTAACAGAGAATGTGTTATGATCATACACATATTGCTATATGCTTACAATTTACTGCTGAAAGCCAAAAATCTTAGACGCTCTTTGTATTGTTTTATAAAAATAATTTTTACAGAGCAGATCACTGAAGAGACGCCATCTGTTTATAGTTTATAGCCCAGATTTGTGGAAAAATGGGTCTTTTATTATAAGGGTTTAAAATTACCTGTCTATTTGAGTGTAAAGAAGACAGTTACAGCTCTCATACGACCCCCACCTTTAGAATGTAGCTTATAGCACACTGATGACATCACTCAACTTCCTTTTACCTGTTTTCTGAGGATCTATGAAGAAAAGCAGATGGTGAGTCCACTGAGTCTTTCAGTTATCAGAGATTTTCTCATTTAGCTCATGATTTCATATGAAGCTTTTAGCTGAAGTCACTGGTGTGACC